AATACAAGTACTTTGGGTTGAGACAATAAAATAGAAGTAAAACATTAAGACAATAAAACACAATAAGACAATAAAAAGACAATAGCTTGTGAATATTAATTCAGGGAAATACGTTAATAATTGATCATCAAAACCCATAAAAATATTGTCCCCTTTTATTGAGTATCAACGATGATTGTGCATTTAAATGACAATTTGACCAAATTTGAGGTTTGTGCCTTCGCTAAATAAATAAACATATAACGGATAGCGTGGCCCTTTAAGAGTACGTCACTTCCGGTTTCATGTCTAGCGAGTCGTCATAACTGATCTTTTGAAGTCATGCGGATAATGCTCCGATCGGAAAACACCCCCGTGTGATCAATATATCCCTCTGTTTGTTATATACAGGTAAGTTCAATAAGTTTAGTAGTTTATTATACTCTAATTCCCTCTGTGCCGGTCAAATGGTTTGTTTTCTTTCACATTAGCTTGTTAGCTTTTTCATGGCTTAATATTAATCTACAACAACAATCTGTGGTCATATTTACTTTTTTTTCAACTGAAAGCATTGCGCTTAGCTGTCACATAAGACTAAAAAAAGCCAGTTTAGTGGAAGATATTTAGTGGATGATATTTATTAATCATTATGTAAGTGAATATATAAACAAAAATCAGTTCATGCACCTGCACTGATACATTACAGTCAAAGCTATAAAGTCATTTACTGGACTGATAAGGTGTTTAGATGAACGTGGTTATCTGAAAGGGATGTACGATTGTTTTGTTACCACTTAGCAATTTTAAATGGGCCACCTTTTTGAGAAGAATCTAGACCAGAACAATCAATACTAGGAAATTAATTCAAGTTACATTAGACACTAATGGTCCATTTGCTTTATTTGGTTACAGAGCTGAAAAATAGTCTGGAGATCACCATTGTCTTCCAAACTTGGATAACTTTTGACACGAGCTGCATCCAGAATTTTTGAGACATTATCCATTATCATAATGAAGATTTGCATTGGATTGCAAGGTAATGTGCTGTAGGTTGTGTACATAAAATTATATATATAGTTTTAAGAACTTAATTTTCCTGTTAAAGGAATAGTTCATCCAAAAATGCTTTATTATTATTATTATTAACGTACATCATGTTGTTCCAAACTTATTTGACTTACAGAACAAAAAACTAATAACAGTAATGTAATGAGTAAATGGTAACAGAAGTTTCATTTTTAGGTGAATTGTCTCTTTAAGGAGGGCTTTTCTAGTGACACCATCACTAATATACTTGTGAAATAAATTGAAAAACAAATAAATTGGCATAATATTGTTTAAATGTCATGTTTGTATGTGACTATATGGTTAAATAAACACTAACAGGGCTCTGCATAAGCCACAAACCACATAAACTGAGCAGAGCTTTCTTTCCTTCTGCACTGACGTCAAGATCAAGCTCTCACATGACCGATCACACATTTTTAAGGCTGTTCTTATGCTTTCATGATCCAGTCCGCCTGAATCAACTCAAGACCCTTGGGCTGATTATTAGAAAGGCAGGCTTGTTGTGTTACTCTGAAGCACCATTGTAATAAAAGTCTTTGGATTCATGGGAAAAGGAGCAAAGTTCGTGACAGATCATTAAGTGCTGGGGCTCTGGGATTTGTTAGTTCATATCACACACTTTGACATGCCATGAAATTATGAGTGAACTAAGAGAATGTTTTAATGATTTAATGCTCTAGGTAAGCCGACTGTGACTATGTCCTGCCTCTGAATCTCTTGCCGTGAGGAGCAAACCCAACCTAAAGAGCAGCGGACATGCACTGCCGTCCTCCGCTCCACAGGGAGAGCTGCTGGTAGAAGATATCAGGAAAGGGTGTGTGCACTGCTCTGGCCATGGATGACTTCACTACACGCACCTATGGCACCAGCGGCATGGACAACAGGCCTCTGTTCGGGGAGACATCTGCCAGGGTAATGCACGTTATAATATCAGGACCATGATTTTGTTATTGAACATCAGTTTTGCTTAGAAAAATATCACATTGTAGTTGCAAGAGTAAAATAGGTTGCATGTTGGATTATACAGAACAATATCTAGAAGGAGTATTGCATGTAAAAAAAAAAAAAAAATAAGTTAATTGTGACTTTAAAGGAATACAGTAGTTCACCAAAAATGAAAATTTGCTAAAAATGTACTCACCCTCAACCCATCCAATATGTAGGTGAGTTCTTCATCGTAACAGATTTGGAGAAATTTAGCATGACATCATTGCTCACCAATGGATCCTCTGCAGTGAATGGGTGCCGTCAGAATGAGAGTCCAAACAGCTGAAAAAAAAAAATCACAGTAATTCACAAGTAATCCAAACGACTCCAGTCCATCAATTAATGTCTTGTTAAGTGAAAAGATGCTTGTTTGTAAAAAAACAAAACAATCCATCAAGGCATTTTCCCGTCAAATCCTTTATTCAGCCTCTATCCATAATATTGCTTTCTTCAGTGAAAAAAAAATGTCTTGTATTAATCAGGATAGAAATATGCACAGATCAAGCTGTTTACAAGTGAAAACATTTCTAAACAAATATGTTGGTGGATTTTGGTGTGAGAGGACAACATGAGATGGACTTTTTCACTGGAGGAAGCATCTTTATGGATTATACACTCTTATAGACTCTTATTTCATTTCACATTTTTGGGTGAACTATTCCTTTAAATCTCACAACGTGACTATTTTTTATTTTAAACTTTAACCAGCTTTTTTCACCCTTGAGGCATTCCATATATTGGTGCTATGTAAATAATATTTACTGCAGCACCTATAAGTGCAACTATTTTCTGTCAACTACACTAATATATTTTTGTCGATCACTTTCAGGATAGAATCATCAATCTAGTGATCGGTGGACTTGCGTCTTTACTTGTTCTGGTAAGTTTTACCACTAATAAAGATCTCAGTATATATCTGTTAATCATATTGTCATTATTAACTTTCGCCATCTCTTTCAGGTGACCATCATTAGCTCATTCGTCTTCCCATCTCTTCCTCCCAAGCCACTGAATATATTCTTTGCCGTCTGTATCATGCTAGTCTGCGGGTCAGTGTTGGTTCTGGTGAGTAAGTACTTGCAATGTAATCTAAAAAGCATTATGCTTAATTGTTTAAATGGTGCCGAAGAGAAATAAATAGTTTCAAATGCAATTCCTAATCGAAAGAAATGAAATCACATCCATCGCTTTCTCTCGCAGATATACTGGTATAGGCAAGGAGATCTGGAGCCCAAGTTTCGCAACTTGATCTACTACATGCTCTGTTCCATCGTTCTGCTGTGTATCTGTGCCAACTTGTATTTCCACGACGTGGGACGTGATAAACAGAGCAATGCCTTATAAAGCTGTTTCCATGGGAGCCGTCCCAATCAGCGGAATGTTCATCTTTATGTGGGTGCTTTGGAACCCCACATAACCCCACTCGAGTTCTTCAATCAGGAAAATTCATTTTCCTACAAGCCCCATTTGTGTGGGCAGGGCCAGTCTGCCTTTGGGAGCCATGTTAGCGGACTAAACATATTATAGATGCAAATATGCTAGCGATCAGTAGCACTCTGGGATATCCGTGCACACATTTTGCACCCTGAATGCTGTACACAGCTTAACCTATATGCCAATGTAATGACAAGACTGGATGTTTTGAAATAAGCCATGGCAATGTAATGCATAATGCTTTTATATGTGTACATGACACATCTATGGTACATTCCGAATTAAGAAAAATCTTTATTTTGTATTTAAATGATTATAAATGCAATCTTGAATAAGAGCACTTGATTAAAGACATGCAGCAGTCATTGTAAATTATGCTTTTTGTTCATTTTTCTAAATTACTGAACACTGTGTTATTTGATATGGTGAAAACCTTACAATTTTGGTTATCAACTGTTGTAATTTGGATTTTATGTAATGAATAAATACATATACACACTATACATTTGTTGTGCTTTATTTTTTAGTACAAAGTTGGGGAACTTTGTTCACATTTCACCAGGTCTTTGTGACCACTAGATGGCGCAGCTGGGTTTAGACAATAAGTGTTTACGTCTTTGTGCAAATTAGATTAATTATTCAGTTAACATAATTTCATTATCTACAGATAATTAAATTAAAGTTGGATTTGAATTTGTATTTTAAAAAATAATAATGATTAACTTTTTGTAAGTAGACCTGCATTCCATTTTCTGTAAACTTTCTGGGTTGCAAACACATAACATTTTAATCATAAAATAAGTCTTACAATATCCCAAAATAAATTATTTAAAAAAAAAAAAGTGCTACTGCTTTGCAGGAATGATAAAAAAAAAATGACAAAGCTCATTTTATTTTTTCAGAATTTTGTGAATATAATTTTTTTTTAAACTGCCATTTGCTCATTACTTACATGTTGCTCAAAACTGCATGACAGTTTCCTCCATGAGGGTTTAGAGGATTGAAAAACACAGATACTGACTGATGAATCATTGATACTGATTATTAAATACTGATATTGATAATTATGTCTTGTTTCAAGTCTCATGCATTCCAAAGTTTTTAAGTGAAGACTGGCTCAAAGCATAATCTGACTACTGGTAAAGCGTTTTTCATTATATAAATCAATGCTTGTCCGAAAATATACCTGAGTAGAAATCCCACTATTGATTGTTAAAGCAATTAAGTGTTTGCCTTTCATACATGAAAGTTTTGGTTCAAATACTACTGTTGCTTAAGTCTGTCATCCTTTACAACAAAGCTCTCAATACAACACCATCCAAAGCACTCAACAACTCAAGCACTCAGCAGGTGTAGTGGCGCAATGGATAAAGCACTGTGTTTTCATCTAGGAGACCTGAGTTCAAATCTCACTATTGCTTCCTATAAATTGTTGTCATTACATCCAACAAAGTGCCATAAAAGCAAAAGAAAAAGATAAAATGTGAAAGCCACAATGGGTTAGTGGTTAAGCACATGTTTTCAGCTGATAAGGCTGTGATGGAGGAATGAGTTCAAATCCCACATCAGACAACAATCACCCAACTGAATGCTTTAACTGGTTTATTGTAAAATCACATACAGGTGAATAGTGAAATATAAGTTCCAGCACAAGCTCAAGCAAGAGATCTGTGGCTCACAGGTGAGCGCGCTGCCTCACAGTTCAGAGGTTGCTGGTTCAATCCCAGCCAGATCTCTGCGATATGAGTGAGTGTTGTGTGAATGAAGGGGTGAGGATGATTCGGGTCCCCCCCTGAGTCCCAGAGCGATGTCCAGCAGTGGTTATGCTTCTTGAAAGAAAAAAAGTAGCTGTACAAAAATTTTGACCTGCTGTCCCTTCCCCACCTGTTTAGGTTCCCATCATTTGCTTTCTAGAGGGGTGACCCTCCAAAAAGAAAGTGATGGTAACCTACATGTGTAGTACACAACAAAACACAAACACAAGCTTTAAGTTTTACCTGTCCTTGAGCAGACGTCTATCATTACAGTCAAAGTCTGTCCACACGTCCCAGAGCTCTGCTTCTGTCCAAACACATCCCATCTTTAGAGAAAAGACAAAAATAAACAGACATTACTATATTTAGTACATCTAAAACATCTGAATTTACAAGTTAGTCTAAATAAATCTAAAACTTATATATATATATATATATATATATATATTAGTGCTTTCAAACAATTAATTGCGATTAATCACATCCAAAATAAAAGTTTTTTTGTTTACATAATATGTGTGTACTGTGTATATTTATTATGTATATATAAATACAAACATGTATGCATACAACAAATATGTATGTATATATGCGTCACTTATGTACTCATTATGTGTGTCTCTTTTCACTGCTGAATGAATGCTGTGTGACTCACATGCTGTTGAAGTCGAGGTTATGGCCATCAATCTGTTTCTGTGTTTCAGCCTCTGATTAATGTGCTGCAGAAAAACTGAGCAAAACAAAATAGATGTGTATCAGGACAATGTCCATTTACATTTGTAAAGCTGAGATGAGACTTCCCTTTGCAGTAAACAACTGACTGTATATATGATGCTTATTATTAAAAGGAAAAGCACTGCAACTCTATAAAAGCATGAAGCAGCAGGAACAGAGCTTCACAAACCTACTGACTCCAATAACAAACATAAGTATCTTACCTACAGTAAGACTGCAACAGCAACAACTAATAAACTGACAGAGCAGCCCTGCTTAACCATAACTTATCAGAAAAACAACGGCACGCCAATATTTAAACAATTCGCAAAACTTAAAAAATGACTTAAACGCAAATAACAAGAGCTTGAGAAGGATAATGCAAGAAAGCACTGCATGAGTAGAGTTACTTACAGGTGAGTCGCAGGTCACTCGATTCCTGCATTTATCGCAGCATGTGTCTATTCTGATTATTAATGGGTCGGAATATGTGCCGTTCAGTTACATTTATAAAACAGTCACTGAGCTGTCATCTCCAGGATCTGTATTTTAAACGGTCTGCACGCGTTGTAAACAAAGTCACGTTTGTCACGCAGCATCCTGAACGAGGTGAGTCTGACCGTGAAGCCGCTTACGCCGCCTAGTGGAGCGGATTGAAAACTGCACTTCAGTTTCTACCTACGAGTCGTGTATTATAGTGACAACAGGGTCAAAAATCGTTTCTTTCTTTTTTTCATATTTTAACTTTTTCCTACTCAAGCTAAAGTCGCTATTTACGATATTAAATGAGTATAAGCCAGACAAAGAGCTGACCATCGGCTCCCTCTTGTGGTCATAAGTGTCTCAGCATCTATAGATCAAATAAACTCTAGGAGGCTAATAACGTTAGTCGCACTTCAGAGGGCAGGGCTCAGAGTTGCATTTTTCTACATTTCTTTTGAACGAATCTATGATTTTGTCAGAGCTTTGACCAGCTGAGAAACGTGGATCTATTAGATTCGGTAAATAAACACGATCAGCTCTCAGTTGATGGGGTAATGTTGCGTTGAACTGAACTCAAGCACATGCTTCGAAGTGTAAACACACATAACATACGGGATATAAGATCTCCCGAGACTGTTTTAGTTTGGAAACGGAGATGTGTATTTGTTTTTATTTATTTAAAATGATATGTACCATGTTTGTTCACAGTTAAACAATGATTTTGGTGTTTTGTGCCTGTGTTTGCAGACTCGAGCAGCATTTACTTTAGTGCTTGTTTGGTTATGGGGAACTGGAATGATCTGCAGGCCGGTCAGAGTGATTGATCACTCATGCATTTATTGCAAAGATCCTGTATCAAAACGATAGCTGATAAACTAATGACTAATATAATGGCTAAACACTGAAATGTTTTATACTGATGAATCTTAACAGGCAAATGCATGAAATCAATTTAGTGTGTTCACCCCCGTGTGGACAAAATGTGTACATGCATGATTATAAGACAACAGCAGTAGAAGCAAAGAGACTGGAAGAAACGAGCCTTTTCAAAGCTTTGAATCAGTTGAAACAATATTGGTTTGCAAAATGATTCACTGTTTCGAAGCGCTCAAAACGCCACTCACTGGTGACGCAAGCTGTAAATGCAAGAAAAACTCTGTTCAAAACATGCCTAAAAAGCTTTTACAAACCCACTGCAAGTATTTTATTGAAAGTACAATATCTTAAATGCAATTAACAAACCATAAAATGCCATTAAATATGACGTATCTGTATAATATGTGTTCTTTTATTAATTTGCAGAGTTTGTTTTGTTTTTATAGAGGACTGTTTTATTGTAAGCACCCATCACTAACTCAAATCTGATTAAAAACACCTGAAGCAGCTAATCGGGGTCTTTAGGGATACTAGAAACTTCAAGGCAAGTGTGTTTCAGATTCAGAAACAAAAACTATTCATTTGAATAAAAATGATGATATTTAAGTAAAGTGTTTGTGTTGATCATTTGAGTCTAAAGGTAAATTAATAAAGAAAAGCCTCTGTGGCTCACTACAGACTCTGTGGCTCAGTGGATAATTAACTGTTTAAGTTGTGGGAAACTTCTAGGTTCAAATCCCACAGTTAATCAAGTTATTCTACATGTAAAAACAAATGTTCAATAAAATCCTATCCAAACACCCATCAACTCCAGAGACTCACTAGATCAGTGGTGTGCTTTAATCTTGGCGTCTTGAGTTCAAATCCCATTTTCCTAAATGAAAGTGTTCAGTGTGAAAGCCGCAATGGGTTAGTGGTTAAACACATGTTTTTGGCTGATAAGGCTGTGATGGAGGAATGGGTTCAAATCCCACATCAGACAACAATCACCCAACTGAATGCTTTAACTGGTTTATTGTAAAATCACATACAGGTGAATAGTGAAATATAAGTTCCAGCACAAGCTCAAGCAAGAGATCTGTGGCTCACAGGTGAGCGCGCTGCCTCGCGGTTCAGAGGTTGCTGGTTCAATCCCAGCCAGATCTCTGTGATATGAGTGAGTGTTGTGTGAATGAAGGGGTGAGGATGAGTCGGGTCCCCCCCTGAGTCCCAGAGCGATGTCCAGCAGCGGTTATGCTTCTTGAAAGAAAAAAAAATTTAGCTGTACAAAAAATTTGAATAGCTGTCCCTTCCCCACCTGTTTAGGTTCCCATCATTTGCTTTCTAGAGGGGTGACCCTCCAAAAAGAAAGTGATGGTAACCTACATGTGTAGAACACAATAAAACACAAACTCTAAGTCTTACCTGTCCTTGAGCAGATGTCTATCATTACAGTCAAAGTCTGTCCACACTCTACGGTCCAAACATATTCTGTAGGGGAAACACAAAAACATTATGCCATATAGTATATGAACAACATCAGAATTTAAAAATTAGTCTAAATAATAGTAACTGATTATACAATCAGATTCCAAAAATTAAGTACTTGTAATTAGATTAAATTACATTTTTAAAATACTCATAATCAGACTACAGTTACTTTTTCATGGGTTACATAATTACATATTATTTACACAATAACAACAATTTATTCATAATTTATTGATTCTCATTAATTCCTCTTTTTCATTTTTAAAAGTTCCTTTCTAAAATAGCCTACCGCTTACATACATTCAGAAAGTCTTCCAGTTTTGTGGACATTCACACAGAGATCAGTCATTAGTCAGGTGGCTAAACAGCATTTGACCACTGGATTTACAAAAATCATTTCAGGTTTAAGAAGTGTTTCAACACTGCATCAACTACTGATGAACACATTCATTCTTATTTGAATTATCACTCAGTTATTTTACCATGTATTACTTTTGTTTGTCTTTCAAATACATTAAAATGCACAAATTCACCAACTTGTTGTCATCTGATCTTCTTTCATCTAATATGTTTTTGTGTGAAGTACCCCTGAGATAATTAAAATAAATATTTTAAGAATGATCACATTTGCATGTTCATGGTTCTCTGACATTGGTTATGGTCACATGACAAGCAGGTAAACAAATAAAATATTTCATTTTTTCAGTAAGTGTTTTATTTTGATTAATTTTAAAATGATTTGTTTTAATGTAGCATTTTTATGATTTAATTAATGATTAGCATTTCATTAAAGTCATAAACCCCCTGCAGTTACTTCACAAACCCAGTTTGGGAAACCTTGATGTAATATAATGTTTAATGCACTCTAATGTTGTTGATAACAACAAATGGAATATATTTTCTTACTCTTTGTATTTTTATATCAATATGGTACTAAATTATCCTACTTAAATCAATGTGGAAAAACTCGATAGGTCAAAAGTAATCTAAAAGTAGTTTGATTATATTACCTAAACCGTGTAATGTAATGGATTACGTTAACTACAATTTTTGTCATGTAATTTGGAATCAGTAACGGATTACAATTTGTAAGTAATCCACCCAGCTCTGTACATTATCTATTAGACATAAAATATTGAACACGACATGATGTCTACAAAACCATAAGGCAACAGAAACTTCAGAGCTTCACACATTAACTGGGTCTATTAACAAAGACAGCACGAACAACAGAGACAAAAAGCCATTACTTATTATTCTACCTTATAATATGAATATCAGAGGGTGATTAATTCAAAGATTATAAAGGTAAAGCAACAACTACCGATTCATTTGTCGGTCTGACAGCGAGTTCAGCAAGACAGCAGCATGTAAACAAAGCCTGTGATAAACCTTCGTAGAAGATGCGACTGCCTGCATACACAATTAACTTAGCTGTCAAATAACAAGCACTTCGCTTATTAAGCGACAAGATTTTATGTTTAAGACACATTAAAAATGTGTTTTGACGCTTTTAGTCCATGTATCCATCATAACATTACTTTAAATGAGTGACATATCATAAGAACTATGTATCAGTGACTTTTGCTAAACGTAGACTTAAGGAGTGATAGACATTTTACAAAAGAAATGTAACGTTACTTTATGAAAGGATACTTACTAACCTCGATTCCTGCACTTTTATCGCGCCGTGTGTCGGTTTAATTTTCTGTTGAGCTGGAATATGTGCCGTTTAAAAGCATTAAGAGTCTGTCGCTGAGCTGTCATTTATGTGATCTGTTTTTAAAACAATCTGCACGTGTCGTGGAGGTTTGTCATCCAAAGGTGTGACACCGAAGTTGAAGGCCGCTTCTGCCGCTTAGTGGAGAGGATGGAAAACTGCACTTCAGTTTCTACCAACCAAGTCGTGTTAAAGCGCTCAAAAAATAAAAGCTGGTTCAGATTGGGTCACTGACTTCATTCCAAAATGTCTAGCCTTCTTTAACATTTGCAGAAGTTCCTATTTATTGCGTAGAGCAAATGAAAAATAACTGATTGTCAGCTCCCTCTTGCGGCCAATACGTGTGTCTGCATTAATAAATGAAACCACAAAACCGAGGCGTCGTAGGCAGGGTTAATGTATAATAACTAAAACGATTTTTTATTTTTTATAATAAAGCTGAAATAAAATACAAGATAAATATTTCATTAAAATCACAAACCACATTCCATAAAAATCACAAACCACAAAAAAGTTATTTCAGTAAGTAACATTGCTCATTTTCGTTTGGTTGTAGTTCAGGCACTAAAATTACTGATAAAATAAAATAAAATAATAAACCTAATGAAAACAATATTTTTAAAAAACTTGTAATAATTTTAACACTTAATCAAATCCATAACGCATAAAAATAAAAACGAACAAAATATGAATAAAAACTATAAAAAATCTAAAACTATAAAAGGGCATAAATAAACAATATTAAAATAATACTTTCTGTAGGTGAGAGGACTGAGTTTTGTTTTTATTAATTTAAAACTATTTTTATCATGTATTTCCAGGAGCAGCCTCCATAATCAACATTTTTGCCATTTTGTTAGGTATTATGGTGCAGAAATTACACATTTCTCCTCAAAAAAACAAACAACAACAAAAAAACAACTTATTTAGTTGTTCTAGCTCAGTAAAACAGTCCTTGCCTTAAGGCACCTTTTGGGGACAAGTCAGATCTTCATAATTTAAGATTTACTGAGATTTAACCAATAACATTTATTTCCTCTTCCCTGTTCCTTAATCTCTAAACTATAATAGTCCAGTTCGTTTTATTAATGAGAACAGATCATTTCAATGGGACAATAGTAATGACATGCAAGTGGTGACAAAATTTTGTTTATTCAATAAATAAACACAGAGGCACTTACAGATAACATGAATATTTAAACCATTTGATAAATTATGGCCATCTAGTCTAGCGAACATTTGGAATGATGCAAACATTCCTGTACAACCTCTCGAATTAATATATCAGAACAGTGCAGCTTCACGTAGCTTTATATCAAGTTTTACTGTTAAGCATGAAAGTAGGCTACAAACACTAGTCAAATCTAGATATACATACACAAAAAAAAACATTTAAAATAATGAACATATATCATTTTAAATACACCATAAAAAAAATGTAGTTTCAGAGTATTTCATGTTTTTAACTGCACTGAGACACAGATGAGGCTCAGGAACTTGCATGATAAATAAATACTGAAGTGTTTTGATGCACGCACATTTCTTTTGATGATGTCTGTATGATCCTGCATGCTGCATTTGTCCCTATATAAAGGAATGCATCCTCTAAGGTCAGTGTTTTTGTGTCTTGTGGATCAGTCTGATCCCTCTTCCTGGTTCTGCAGAATGGGATCTGTATGGAAAAACAAATGATTAGATCGCTTACACTACCTGTTAGCCTTCTAAAGAACTTACCAGACTTGCTCAACTAGTTAACATCATTCATTACCAATGTTGGGTAAGTTACTCAAAAAATGTTATCCACTACAAATGACTAATTACTTCTTTAAAATTGTAATTTGATTGCATTACTTATTACTGCATTTAAAAAGTAATCAGATTACTAATTACTTTTCAAGTTATCAAACCTAAAAAATAGGCTACACTACAAAGTGAAACTCATAGTTCTTTCATTAATTTCATATTGACTGAACAATTACACAAGTATTATTTGTATACACTCAATATCAACAAAACTTTTTTGTTTTGGTTTTGTAAAATAAAGGAAACAAATAGGGTGCGCTTTCTGCATTCTCAGTCTCCGTGAATATCTTCCTGAAACGAATCACTAAAATGAACGAATATGACATGAGATATATATCTAAAGAAGTGTCTATTTTTAAATGAAGTCAGTCATGTCGAAAACAAATATTCTCTGATAAAATAATCCGTATGAAACCAACGCGAGATAGCCTACAGTCTTTCTCATCTGAGCTCACCTATAATGTGATCATGAAGATGCGCTGTGAGGAATAAGCCTTGAATTTACCTCAGAAGAAGAATGCGATGCGACGCGGCTTAATCCAGCGGAGGATCTCGTTCTGATGAGTCATTTATTTTTACTTATATTAGTGTTACTGTGACATAAACTTGTACACATTCACTTGTTGAACTTTTCCCAAACTATAATGCCAGACTAAAATATGTGAAATCGAGTGCAACCTTTTGAAATATGACAGGCAACCTTTCATTGCATCTAAATGTTGTACATTGTTGTACATTGCATTTTAGCTTGCAACCTCCGGTGATTTATTAAAGAGCATACTGACACGCAAAACGTTTTTACTTCATATTTTTTAACACTGCATTTGTAAATGAAGTAACGTCATTTTATTGAAATTAGTAACTGTAATCAAGTTACATAAATTTAAAATGTAACGTATTACATTACTGCACTACCAGGAAAAGTAATTAGAATACAGTCAGTAATGCGTTATAGCCAACTCTGACCTGTGAGCGTTCCAAGCGGAAGGACAGAATTCGTGCTGATGTCCTCATTAGTAGGAATAAAGCTGCTCGGAGACGGAACCATGAGCATGGCTTCCTCACCCATCCCAGAACTCTCTACAGTTTCCCCAACTTTAGGAGAGTCGAGAGTCTAAACAAAGAAAGGAGAATTTCATGAGCAGGAAGGTGGCATGAGAACACTTTTCGTTTTTGGAATGGATTCAGAAAATGAAACCTTTTCTTCTTCTTGTACATCGTTTGATCTCTCTTCACTCTGCTCCTCTTCTCCAGAGTTGTTTTGGTTTTCCAAAGGCTCTTCCTTCTCAAGCTCCTGCTCTCCCTCCAGCTCCGATTGGCCGAGAGGGTCCGAGAGGTCCTCTGAGGTCACCGTCTGGATGATGATGCCAGGGTGGGACATCTGGACGGTCACATTCTCATTGTCGGTCTGATGCAGACGGTGAAAGTAGGCAGAAGAGAGAGAGAATTACAGGCTTTGTGACACCACATTAATTTTGGTAAATATTTTAGTATAATTTACATACTATTAATATTTTGATTTAGTTTTTATTTTAATTTTCGTTTTAATAAAACACTTAAAATTAAAACTTAAAATAATTCTGTTTATTAAGTTTAAATTTGGTAATTTTGCCTCTTTTTTTTTCATTTTTATTCATTTTTTCCCCCCACAAATTTATATATATATTTTATTATCAATAACATACTATTGTAGTTTTTATTCATATTTTATTTTTTTGTCAAAATTTTACTTTTAATAAAATAATTAAGATGGAAAATAATTAATTTTGTGTTTTGAGTTGTTTTTGTCATTTTTATTCGTTTTTTCAAAACTGCATAATGAATATGTGTGTAAAATATTTATTTTAGTATCAGTAATATACTATTATAATTTTTTATTATTATTAATTTTTTTATTTGTTTTTTTATTTTTACTTTTAATAAAATTATGTTAAGTTTATATAATTTAAGTTTAGTTTTTGTAATTTTGCTGTGTGCTTTTGTCATTTGTATAAATTATTTTAATGTCTGCTTAGTTTTTAATAATTTTTATTTAAGTTTTAGTTTTGGTGATTTTAGTACTTCAATATCAAACTAAATAAAAACTGTTAAAGTAAAAAAGTTGATTTGGCAAATAAAAAAGTTTTGATGTTATTTCATTTCAAGTAACAAATATGTTTTTTAATAATTTTAGTTAACTATAACCCTTGTGCACACAAAAGACTTACAGTGAGGCTGTGTAAAATAATCTGGTCTGGTGAAGATGGCGAAGCTGCAGCTGTGAGTGTGACCGTGGGATTGGCTGAGAGCGTGAGGCTCTGATTGGTTCCTGTTTGGAGGAAATACGTTCCAGGGGTGCCAGTGGGCTGCAGGTGAAATGACTAGGGAAGAAATTACACAAACGATTTATAAACACAGCTTATACATCTTATAGTTTTGAAAAATACTCAAAGTAAAATCTGAGGTACTCACAGGCAGCAATTCAAAGGTCTGTAAAGCCCCGGAGTTCAATGTGATGGTTTCACTGTCTGAGGCACCGCTTGCACCGTCTGAAGAAGCTGTGGAGAGAGAAAATGGTGCATTGAATCTACAATGCCACTGAACTGTTATAACCACAAAATTCCCTGAAACTACATTCCCAGGTTATTTGACTCACAGACATGTGTGATCTGCACTGGAATCTGGACCGGGATCTGCAGTGCGGTGACAGGGCTGGGAGAAGCACAAGCAGATCGAGAACCAAACACCACAACCTTGTTCATCGCAGACGGCGGTGCCTCCACAACATCTTGCAGCCCTTTCAACAAGACTACACAACACAGAAAACACTGCTTCAGTGTCTGAACTCACATTATAACAGACATGCTACACTATAAAGACGTTATCTCACCAGGAAAGGGAAGTTCCTTGTGATTGGCCACTTGTCTTTTGATGGTCCACCATTTGCTGCGGAGCCACTGAGGTGAGCGAACGCTGCTCCACCCACCGGCCAGAATGTCCCAATTAATTTCATTCTCATCCTCCACATCCAGTTCAGCTATCCTGCTCATGCATAATTATGATTAATGATTCATAATTAGTTTGTGAATAGGTATTCTGAATTTTGCTGTGAACTACCTGCGAACAAGGTTGATGTCATCTTCTTTGGTCCACTCCGTGCCACCGCTCTGTTTCCAGTTAAGGTAGTTGAGCCATTTGGAGCGGCACTGTTTCTCTGAGCGAGTGCCGACAAGTTCAGCCACCGATGCCCAAGAGACTCCCTGAGTTACAACGTCACCCGCCTCTGTGCCCGT